TTTCGCCTGCCCCAGCTTTGCAACAATCCGTTTGTGTATTCAGCAATTTTGCATTGTGATTGCTCGCGCTGACAAGCTTACAGAAAAGCCCTGCAGCCCTACAAACAGAGCTGGAGAGCAAGCTGGAGTTTCCCCTTGTTTGGTCCGTACAGGGCTAGGGCTCCTGCAATGGGCCCTTTTTTGGATAGAGGCCCCCCGTCGTTGTTTCCAAGCCACCTTCTGTTTGGATTTTTGGAAGGGTGACCTTTCCAACTAGGCGTCAGAGCTGGAAGAGGACTGCGCAGCGGCCTCCCAAGTTGACAAGGGCTTGTTGCAGGGCTATCGGAACCCCACGGTCGGTTTCTTTTTGGTTTGCATGTACACATTGGAACGCAAACAAATACTGTAGGTTCCTCCCATAAGGGGCACCTAGAACTTGCGCAAGAAGTTTAGCAAGGCTTTGCCTGGCATAGTCCCGGCATGGACAAAAGGCAAATGCCTCTTTCAGACAACTTTCAGGCGACTTGAGGCTGGTGAGATGTTTGGTGGGTTTAGGTTTTTGCGGTTTGTTTTGGCTTTTGCCGCTTTTCGTAGCTTTGCGGCTTTCCATGCCTGTCCTTGCTTTTCCTGACTTCTCGTAGCACTTGCTGCCTTTTCGTGGCTTTCCGCGTCCTCGACCCCCAACCCTACATGCAACTGTAAACCCTTCCCCTTCAGCCCGCACTCCACCCTGCCAGAAGCCAACCCTAAACCCACCCTAATCTTCCCCGGCCTCACCTTGAACAAGCCTAAACATTCCTAAGCCAACCCCTCCCCAAACCCACCCTAAACCTGGCCTTGTCTGTGCTGAACGAGGCTAAGCCCGTCCTAACCCGAACCTCACCCAAACCGATCCTAAGCCCGCCCTGAACCCACCCTAATCCAACACTAAACAAATCCTAATCTACCCTAAACCAACCTAAGTCCGGCACGAAACCCATCTTTAACCCACCCTACCAAACCCCCAATCTCGAACCCCAAGCCTGCTGGTAATGCTAGTGGAGTTGAGGTAATGCTAGATAAGTTGATGATGTTTGTACGATTTTCTGCAAAGTGCCTTCAGATTTGTGGGACTATATGCACAATACCGCGTATTTGCCCTCCAGAAACGAACACAGCAATAAATGGTCAACATTGGGAAGCAACAACCATCTAACCATAATTGCTGCCCGGGTTGTTTGACTTGGGCACAACATGAGGACCCATTTGACCATGTTTGACCCGGTTTGACCCCTGTGAATCCAGCAGGACGTTGAGCTCGACAGCAGCGACTCGGAGCTGGATCCCTGCTGAGCTCCGTCCTTTTCCGTGTGCTTAAGATTTCTCAAGCCGGATCATGACTCAGGGAAATCGGGGACCTTGGGGTCCAAGGTTTTGGAGAAGAAACCGATGTCTTTGAGCATCGGCCTGGCCAGAATGTCCTTAGAGAGCATGCATAGGTGCGGCAGGCAGTCAAATGCCAGCGGCTGCCGGCACGTTCGAGCTCAAAACAAAGCTCCCGCGCCGAGAGCAAAACACCCGGCATAACTCCGTGAAACCCCCTGATTGCTCCGAAGCTTCCATTCGATTCATTTCATGTGAGCAAAGCGCAAACCGCCTGAAGTACAAGGGTTTCTCATCCATCCTTTGGCTGCTGCACACATACTGACCCGCATTCTCCAGGCTTTTTGGGTGAAGCTTCGTGGCAGAATTCGACTGCGATCTGCTTTTGTTATTTGGAATATGCGGCTTTTGCCACAAGCTCCGCTCGCAATGAGGCCAAGCTCGAGGCTGACAAGCTTTACAGTTGACTGGATGCAATATCCAGTCAACCGCTAGTGCAACCAGCGTATGACTTGTAATTGTGGTTCCAGAAGCAGAGACAATCATTTTTGCCGAGGATAGCTACGGGCACGGACTAGTTGTTGTTGCTGCCTCTAGACGTCAACGTGCCTACCACATTCGGTGGCGTCGGAGCGAAGTCCCTCCCAAGGTGTGAGTTCACCTTTGGGCATGTTCCCTTTCGACCTCTCCTGCTGGCTTTTGGGTCTTGGGTCAAGACAAGGATGGCAAGACCAGGGGTTAAATCCCAAATGGTCGTCAGTCTGAGCACACCAATGCCGTCAACATTGTAGTATGTGCGAGGGTCAAGGTCGGCACACATCAACTGATGTTGGCAACATTGCCAACTCTTCCCTTTCCACAAGTGCAGAATTTACAGCATACATGTTTGCGGTATGTTCTGGTTGAAATTGGATAGGGTTTAACATGCAAGATGTGTGCATATTCCTAGATATCATTGCTAAACTGCGGTGGCCCCTCCAAGCCTCAACAAAGAAGACCAAATGGCGCCCAAAGCACCAGAAGCATTGGCAAATGCCAAAGTTGGCATCGTTATGTGCGAGTCGGGTCCAATGTTTGAGCCATGCTCGAAAGGAATGAAACACTTTAAGCTGCCTTTAAAGCTGAAGAACAAGCGCTTGAAGCATGTCTCGATTCAAGATTCCAGATTCTCAGGACTGTCATTCTAAATCTCGAATCCTGTACTGTTCCAGGCCAAAATGCTTTGGCGCACAGGGGTTCGCCGCGACATCACACTTATATTGGCGCAATCAGGTAGCACGCGCTGGCACATCTTGGATCGCAGATTCCCAGAAAACTTGGGAATCTTCTATCTTCAATGCAGGGTGGGCTGGCACGTGCTAGCGCATCCGCTAGCCCACAACAGGATGGATCGAAGCTTCCCAGGAAGCCTCTTCCTGGGATCTTCAATCTGCTAGGATGCCCTAGCACGTGCTAGCCCATCCTGTTAGCCGATTGAGAAGACTTTTCTGGGAATTGTCCATCTTCGATCCAGGACATGCTAGCACGTGATAGCACATTCCACTAGCGCATCTCGGGTTGAAAATTCTCGGAAAGCTGTTTCTCTGCATCTTCAATGTTCGATCCAGGATGCGCTAGCACGTCCTTTGACCAACCTCATTATATAAAGATGGAGGTGGAAAAAGGGGTGCATTTCCCAAGCATCAGTTCGAGGAAACGTGTTTTGTTCTTACCAAGAGAAAATGTGTTGTTCATCAAGCGGGAAGTACCATATATATAATATTATACATAATATGCTACCCCCCCCCCTCCTCGCGCCTGAGACCCACCTTGCAGATGCAGAGCAGACCCTTCAGCGGCCTTTGACATAGTGGCAGAAATGTTTCCTTAAGAAAGGTCTGAAAGGAGTTCCCATTCTTAGTACAGTCCAAATTGAGAATTCGAACTGGATTAATTAGACGCAACAACAAGCTTGTTTTTCCTAACTAGATTCCATTCGAATGTTCACTAGAGTCCAATTAAAGTCCTGCTTGGAAAAACACATAGCATTTTCAAAGTACTGTTCAAGATGATTGTCCGAAATAATTATATTAAATTCCAAAAAGTGACCTACTTGGAAAGGAATTCCCATTTGAAATATCATTCGAAATACAATGTCTAGTTGATGTTTATTGAAGCTCCTGCTTTGCCAAGCGTTTCTATCCAAATGCTATTGCAACATAAGAACTTCATGTATATTATAATTGAAACGCTACTTGACAAGGAATTCCCACAGGCATTCAAATTGAAAAAGGATTCAAGATGAGAAGTCCAATTGAACTCTAAGGAATGTCCGACTTAAACTTAAAGCCTTGCAATTTAAAGTTGCAAGCCAATATGCTGAAGTTTGTCCTGTTTTCTTGATTCCTTTCGGCTTTCAGCTTGTCTTTCCTCGCTGGATGCTCATATGTATGTATACATGTTTATGTACATAGCTTTATACATGTGTATGTATTATATATATATATATATATTTATAGATGTCAAGGTATATCTGTATTCGTCTATACATATATATATACAATGATGTATGTTTGCCTCCGAAGCGAAAGGGTTAGGTGTCAAAAACAGCTCCCGAGCTGACGGCCCGGGAAGAGCGGCCCAACCAACGACAGACAGAGTTCATTTGTGCCCCTGCAGATTCCCCGGCGAGCATTGCCTGAAACTCATGTGTCCCTTGCCCTTTGGTGAGAAACCAGCACGGCAAAGGGTGAGTTGGAAGGGGATGCAAGGAATTCGTGCACGGGACAGGACTCACCTATCAGACTTACATGGCGCTGAAATGCATTCGCAGTTGCGTGTAGCATTGTTCGGACAGTTCTATTGTTTGGCGAACTGTTGCAAGTCAGTTTTAGGGACTGGGTTGTTGCTAATTAATGGTTTTGATACTCACCATCTTCCTCCCGGGATGGGAGGAAACCAGCACCAGCTATGGCATCGTGCTTAGGTGCCAAACCTTGCCCTTAGGTGCCATCTGGCGCTTGCATCTGTAGTCGGAATGCCCAAGGCCTGCCAGCCGTGCGAATGGCGCGTATTTTGTCGCCTTGTACGGATCGCTGCACTGGTGTGCCCTTGCCCTAAGTTGGGTCGGTGTCCTGTTGGTAGGGCTTTCCCCTCAAGCAAGTTCAAGGAAATGCTTGACAGTTTCCTCAGGCTCTGGGAATCCTGGCGGCTGGCAGGCCGTCGGCTGATTCAATCAACCTTGAAAGGTTGAGCATGTGCATGTTATGGTGCAGGGACCTGCTGTCCAGGCGGCTTTCAAGAATTTGGTCGGGCCAGCGCAACAGCTCACGTAGACGCCAAGTCCGTCGCCTGTTCCAAGCCGGGAGATTCCTTTGACATGCATTGTTCCTGACGTCGGTGGCCCTGACCAAACCTAGCGCAAGTCTCGCTGTCAAGCCAAAAAGGCGGGCCATTCGGAATAGAACACATCACAATGAATAGTAAAAGTGCTTGTGCACCAGAGAAAGGCGCGCCGATGTGCCCTCAGCAGTCCGATCCATTGGCCGTTCGCATCCTCAAGGCTTTATTTGCGGACCAGCCAAGCAACGTAACATGGCCTGTTTTGACTCCGTATCTTGAATCCATTGAACACAAACCCCCACTACTACATACTATATAAACTTGGATGCCTTTAGCCGATGCCCAGTTTTTTGGATTTTGTGCTGGTCACCGACCCAATCGCCAGCATCGCATCCAGCCTTGCAATAGAACAAATGTGCGCGAAGAGGCGAGCAAGCGCTGCCAAGCGCAGCCAAAGGGACGCTTAGGAGCAAAGAACAAGAGTGGAGAGCACCCACGTGCAAAATGGGTTTGGGTTTGAGGAATTGGGCAAACGAAGCATGCAGAGGCAACAATCTCGTGAGAGAGAGCTGTGGTTCCTAGTGGAGATTGAGATACGATTGGCAGCTCTTTTGGCCTGAGTGGTGGATTCATCTTCCGAGATGAGTTGCCAGGCAGAGACCCAACCTCCTCATCACGGGCACGCCCGGAGTTGGCAAGACCACCTTTTGCGAGGCATGTGTTGGCCAGTTCCAGTCTTTTGATAAAGCGGGCTCCGAGCAAACAAGGAGCCCTTACGAGTTGATGCATTTGGCCAGACCAGATAACTTTTCAGATGCAGCACGTGGCCTATTGCAGACTTACCTTGCAGGAATCTTGCGGTTCAAGTCTTATTGGATGGGGCACCCCACTCCTCAAATTGATGCTCACTTCTAACACGTTGAGTTTGTGTTTAGTCGCTTCCTGTGAGGACTCTTGCTCTTGGAGATTGCCCAGCTCTCCCACTCATCAGCTTGATATCCATGACTGGAAAGTCATAGTGTTCCACATCAGCGTACTGTCCAGAATCGTCTTCACCCCTGGAAAATGCAAATCTGATTGGCCATCCTCGTGCAGAGGACATGTTAGACTCAGGCCAGCGTAGCGCGTTCTGACATCCGAGGCGCAATAGGTCACTGCTGTTTGCAGTAGGCCCTTGTTGCACGTGACGCCTTGCGTGCCGGATGTGTTTGGCGCGAGCAAAGCAAACATTGTGCGTGGCGCTACTTACCTCGTTGCTCATGCCATGGCTTTCTGCCTGAACAGCCGGTGGTTGAAGGAAATGAGTCAGGGACCAACTCGGAATAGGTGCTGCCGCCCTTGATTCTTTTCTGCGATTTGGGTCAACACCTTTAGTGCCAGATTTTGAGTAAGTCATTCGAGCTGAGCTTTGAAGATGTTCCGATGCGAGCCTGCGGGGGCCTCTCTCGGTGGTTTTATCGGTACTTGTGGTATTGGTAGGGGGGGTGAATGGTGACAGATCTTATTTGGGACCCGAGGGACGGCACTTTTCAGGCCTTGGCGTCCAGATCCGGCCTGCAGCATGTCGAGGAGGGCCGTGTGGTCGCTTAAGATAATGTCCTTGTTGCTGACATTCACCTGGTAAATGAGAGTATATAATTTGTGAGAAGGACAGTCAATCAGGAGTCAATCAGGAAATAACTCTTTGTCTCACCTCCCCCGGCTCCAGCATTTTATGGTAAGTGGGCTGTGGCTCTGGGCATTGGCTCACTGGACCTTCGAAGATCTTAGGAGAAAGAGGGAACCGAATTGGCCTTAACCATTTCCCATGGGGAACACCAGGCTTCCCGTGTTGATCCTACGCGCCATGCTTCATGTCGTGCAAGAGCGGGTGGAGCGCTGCACACATACGCTGCACATCTTGATGCCGGGCTGCATCCTCCGAAGTTTTTATAATAATCTAGTTTGGTCGTGTCATTTGGCAAGCAAATCAATTGTGAGCCAGCAATGCCCCTTCATTACTCTCGCTTTCCCAGCAGACGTTGGGGACTTTGTCCTGGGGTCTTGTTTGGCTGGGAAATCGGGCAGGGCTTGAAAGAAACAACCTGAACCCCGAGCAGACCCCGAGTGTGTTTGCTGCAGCAACCTTTTGGCTTACCTGAGCAAGTAGGATCAAGCAAGTCTTCTGCCTTTGAATCGGATCCCTTTGCCAGGTGAGCAAACTGGTGCGGGAGAAGCGGTCCAAAGCCTCAGATGGGTCAACTTCGGTATGTGATTCAAAGAGCTCCGTGAAAGACGATTTGGAGCGACCTCTGACCAGAATTCCTGGCATGTCCCAAATCACGACACGGAAACCGCATGCACTTGATCATGAACTCAAATGTGGGCGTCACGCACGCACACCGAAACGCGCGCACAGACAGACACAGACACAGAGACACACACACAAACACAAACACAAACACAAACACAAACACACACACAAACACAAACACAAACACAAACACAAACACAAACACAAACACAAACACAAACACAAACACAAACACAAACACAAACACAAACACAAACACAAACACAAACACAAACACAAACACAAACACAAACACAAACACAAACACAAACACAAACACAAACACAAACACAAACACAAACACAAACACAAACACAAACACACTTATCTCGAGAGGCTTCACTAGCCGAGATGCAAAACGCAGTCAGTAAAAATGCTTGAATGCAAATGCAAATCAACAGGTCACAACATCGACACCGAACAGGAAGCAACAGCGACAAACAGAAACCGCAAAAGGAATTTCTCATCACTGCAGGTACGTGGATTCTGCGTCCAGAATCCATATCAGCACTGATGGAAGCCTCTTCGTTGGGCCGTCACTTCCATGCAGTGGACAGCCCCCCTGCTGCTTAAAGTTTTGCGTCCGTGCTCCAGGACGGTTCACACACACAAGGCCCCGAGTGGGGCGAGCTCACTTATGCAAGGCCCATTGAGTCTTGCAATCTTCGACTGTGCCGGAAAGTCTCGTGGCGATGACAGACCATGCAATCTTGGCCTTGGTATTGATCTTAAGCGAACGGAGGAGATCAATCTCCCCCTCAGTCCAAGGTTGCGGGGCTTCGGGATCAGCCCCAGGAGCGGCATCAGTCCTGGTCGATGGGGTAGCTTCGCGTTGTCCACGGGTAGGTTTGGATGCCATAGAGCGTGAGGAGGTCTTGTCATGTGTGCGGCGAGCTCGTTTTTTGTCAGGAGGAGACGGTGGAGTGGGTGGAGCCCAATGATCAGGAAATTGTTCATCATGATCTGCGAGAAGTTGTTCGCCATGATCTTCAGGAAGTTGTTCATTAAGATCATCGGGGGGGGCCAGGAGAGGTGTTGGTGGTGAATTGGTCATGTCCTCTATGGTGAGAATGAGTGGAGCTTCCGGTGCGAAATCCGGACCCTCAGTGAACTCGCGAATGGTGGCGATGCCTTGCTGGGCAATGCCGAGGATGAGTTCAAAGTCTTGAAGCAGCTGGCGTGCTGTGTCAGGATCCATGATCGCAAAAGGTTTTATGTCAAACGGCTGCGGTGTGAAAACAGGTCATGTGGGAATCTTCCGGTGGACTAAGAGTGAAAAAGTGGGTGCAATCTCAAATAGTGGCAAGGGAAGGCCGGTGCGTTTTTTCTTCTGTAAGGTGAAACCGTGTTGGTGGTACAACTTCTTCAACACTGTGAGATCGTGATCTCGCTGAAACTCAGGAAAGGAAACCCGGCTGATCAGCGTACGTCTGGAGTAATATCCAGATTCCTTGTGCATCATTGGTGCGGCCGACTTGATGGAGAGCATGTTGTGCTTCTCATACGAGGGGATGAAGGAGATGGCGCCGCACTCAAGGTCTAGTCGAAAACCCAAGAAATCCAGGGCGGCTTCTGTCTCCAAAAGGATGTCTCCTCCGTAGAAGTGTTCGTCACACACGATGTGGGCTGCCGGAGTCGAAAACCATCTAGGGGTTGCGACCACGAGCCTGTTGTCCACATAGCGGAGCAGGAGGGTGTCTTCAAAGGAGCGAGGTCCCGAAGTAGGATGGGTGTTGGCCCAAATTTGCTCGGCGACCGCAATTACCATCAGGCATAAAGCAGGAGATGCGGGGGATCCCATCGGGGCCCCGCGTGTTTGCCTGAAGGAACGGAAGCCGACAGAAAAGATCTGCATGTCAAGGGTAGCTTGAATGATTTCGGGGATGTCGTCAAGCCACAGAGTGCGTTGTGCTGGCTTGTGTCGGCGACGGCGTCCGTTGTAGACGCGGGTGGTGGAAGAGGTGTCGAGTGTGTCCACAGTGAGGTGTGTGGTGGTGGAATGTGGTTGCCGCTGTCGGTACCAAGTCAAAAGTAGACGCCAGGCTGCTAAGAAGCGGTCTTTGTCAATGGAAGTGAAGAAGCCAGAAAGGTCCTGGTTTCGACAGTCCAGAGGGGTGTGGCCGAGGCGGAGAAACTCATGCAAAGACCGCATGAGATCGAAGAGGTCGCCGCCCGAAAATGCGTCTGGGCAAGCCGTGGCAACCATGCTGTGGAGCAGTTTGGCGAGAGCGTCAAGCATGGGCTTGGGTTCAGGTGCGGCCTCGAATGCTGGTCCAGTTCTTCTTCCTCTTGGGGAGGATGTAGGCAGTCGCTGGCCGTCCGAAGCCGGTCACGGCCCATGGATAGCGACCGCGGAATCTGCGGACGATGCTTTCCCGTTGCCGTTGATGGATCTCAATGGAGGGGACTCGCAAGGGGGCAAAGATGGCAGGATCCGTGAGTGTGGCGTCCAGCATCTTGCCGTACACAGCGGGGCAATAGAGCATGAGTCGGGAGTCCGCATGATCTTCGCAATGGCGGACAAGGGGCTCCAGGGTTGTTAGAGCCTGTTGAACATGAGCATGTAGAAAGTACTGTTGTGTGTGAGGAAGGTGGAGGTCGAAATGGAAATCGACAATAGTGGAAAGGGTTGATGGATCAAGCGAGGGCAGGTTGTTGGTCCTGGCCCAGTGGTGAAACGCCTGAGTCAGACGATTCATCAAGACCCCGCGTGGAGGAAAGAAGGAGTTTCGCATCGAACCAGAAAGCATGCTGACTATGTCGGGGTCGAACAACTCATGAGTGTTGGAGCCAGAAAAAAGAAGGTGTCCCTCATGCTTCGGGAGGGATGGGTGTCGCTTGGCGAGGTCGGTACATGTGCAGGACAGCTCGCGAGACTCCAGGTTTGAGCTGCCTGGAGGTGTGAGAACAAGGCACTGGATAGTTTCCGGTGTGCCTTGAAAACGATGCGTGGTTGCGCCACATGAAACGGTAGAGCACTGCGGGTGGTGGATCTGACAAACCCGCGGAGCTGGGTCAAAAGCAAAGTCCGAAAGGAGGAATGTGCGAAGAAGGGCGCGAGCGTCGGCCTGGAGGGGCCGGGTGGAATTAGGCCCCGGAAGCGCAGGCTAGATCGAATGGCAGAGATGCATGCCTGGTGGTGTGGTTCAGGTAAGTGTGTAGCGATGCGATGAAGGATGTATAGGGCAGCGTGTGGGAAGTCTCTGCTCCGTATGTAACGGATGGCATCGAATCGTCGTAGGGTGTTGCTGCCAAGATCGCCCAAAAGGCGCCACAAGTCCAGGCGGTTGCTCATGCGCTTGGCCAGGAAAGCTTGTTGCAGAGCGATTGGTAGTCGTAGTCTGCGACGCTTTCGCCAAATGGTGGCAAAGCCCGTGCGTGGCCGAAAATGTCTCTCGATGAAGCCAAAATTGAGAGACGGTTGCAGTTCCTGAATGTAGAGCTGCTCAGTGGCGAAGAGGTCTGTTGCTGGGACGGCAATGTGGATGGGCACTGAAGTGTAAGAGTGGAAAACACCGAAATGCGCCCACCATCGAACGGCCAGCTCGGCGTTGACCAAATGGTGTCGTTGAACCTGAAGTAGTTTGCGGAATCGGCTGTGATCCCGAGCCATGAGAGAGGTGCGAGTTGCACCGACATAGAAAAAGGTTTGCCATTTGGGATGGCTGGTGAATCTCAGATAAACCGCGGAAGGGACAAGCTGAGATGAGAAATCAGAAGCGGGGGAATCCAGGCCGAGTCGGGCAAGCAGGGCCAGAGCCACACGAGAGATGGCAAACGTCAAGTAGCTGAAGCTGTGCGAGTAGCCAGGAACAAAAGTGACGTGCGGTGACGTCGTCGGTTGGGAAGAACCGGAGAGTGAAACGGAGGACAGCGAGAAATTGGCGGCAGTGGTGTTGCCAAAAATTGTGTTGCTTGGCTGTGCGTCGTTGTCGGTGTGCTGTTGAGAGTCACTGGTAGAAGTGGCTTGCAGCGGCCAGGATGTGGCCCAGGGCCGATGACCCTAGTTTGGATAGGGTTCGCACTGGTACGCCCCAGAGCACGGCGGCTCGTTCCAGTTGGGCTCTGGTGTCGGAGTCCAGTGTAGCCGCCCATTTGGCGCAGTCGTTGGACCAGCGTTCAAGGGTCTGCTTGCTTTCTTTGCTGATCTTCTGGGAAGTGATCCATGGACTTTGGTGTCGGATATGTCTTGCTGGTGAGCCATTGGCAAACGTGGAGGGGGTTGGAGCAGGTCGCAAGGCTCCTTCCAGGTGGGCGGGGAGGGGAGGGGAGAAGCCGCCGGGGTGCCGCCGTGGGTGGGGGGCGGTGCCGCCGTGGGTGGGGGGGGCCGGGGGAGAAGGGGAGTCGTCAGCGGTAGGGGGAGGGCGGGGGAAACGTCAGGCAGTGGGGTGTCAGACGTAGTGAACCGTGGCCGCTTCATGCCGAAGTCCAGAAGGGAGGCCTGAGAGGAGTCAGCCGGGCGCTTGCCGGATGATGTGGGTGTAGGGGGAGGTGAAGGCTGTGCGAGTTGGCTGCGTGCGACGGCAAGCTGTTGCCGGAGCTGGAGGATGGTGGCAGCTGAAGCTGGGTCAGTCGTAGTGGTGGGTCGTAGGGAGATGAGGAAGTCGAAGATCTTGCTGGTTAGTAGCTTCATGGCTGCTGGTTTGGTGGTCGAGGTGCCCGATGTCGTTGTCGGATTTGGCTGAGTAGCCCAGCGGCGAAGACTGACTCCGGCATCGACTTTGCGACAACGATGCGTACCTCACCTCCATGGGCGAGGTGGCGCAACCACCAGCTGTTCCACTGTTCGTGCAGGAAGTTGAGGAGGGAAATGCGAGCGATGTCTTGTCCCTCAATGCCCAATTGCCGGGTGAACGCGGTATGCGTTATGACCTTGGGCAGGTCGTACCCTGCGACGCGGGTGGTGTCGTAGTGATCGTCGTCGGGGTTGAACTCTGCTGGTGTTGGGACTGAGTGGAGGGGGCGAAGAGCAGGAGGGGGTGTGGCCGTCGAGGCGGTGGAGGGAGGGGAGAAAAGAATGGGCGCCGCCGGGAGGAGGGGGGAGAAAGCCGGTGAGGTAGGGAGTTGGAGGTGTAGTCGGTGGTGTCCCAAGGCCCCAACAGGGCCCCGCACGGGGTTTCGGCCGTGTTGTTGCCGTACATGTTGCCATGGTGGTTGGATGCAGCAGGGTGAAGGTTGCTGTGGGTAGTTTTGCCTTTGGAGCATCGGTAACAAGCCTCGAGGGGGTTGGAAAGCCATGAGAAAACACAAGGGAAAGGGGCCAAGTTCGAACCAAAGGCTGGCAAACGGCAACCAAAAGGAAGGGTCGTATGGCGAACGACCAGTCACTGAAAAGGCAACAAAGCAAACAAACCGTGCATCAGTTCTTTTCCCAGTCACATGGAATATGGTACGGTTCGCGCCCCGCTACGCCACACAACACCTCTCAGCATGGCGTACTTGGAGTGAAGGCACCACTTCTTGCCTCTGCGGCATGCAAAGTGGCGCCGCATGTTGTGCTGGTCCTCGTGGCTTCCCCCGGACTCCAAGATCTTGTGCTGATTGACAGAGCACAGTTCCCCAAAAGCGATGGCCCCAGACTTTCCGATGGTGAAGTTCTGGCCTAACGTGTCGGGATTGCAGGCTGTGGGAGTGGCCTGAGCGTAGCATCCAAAGCTCGGGTAGTCATGGTTCTCAGGCCTCCATGCAGCAGGCCGGATCATGTTCTCATAGGACATGCGGCGCATTCGATCCGGGCATGACAGCGTGATGGGAAGCTGTGCCGGATCCAGCTTCCGGGTGCCCGCCAGCGACCGGCCAGGGGTGTGGTCGGGGAAACCAAGTGGTGGCGAACACCATGCCATGTGATTCCCGTCCCCGGAGATGGTAGAAGCTGGGGTCGAACGCTACGGGCTCATCCACGTCCATGGTTCGCAGTTCCCAGCATTCTGCGAGGAGGTCGGCATGTGAAGGTGGCAAGGCAGGGTCCAGGCTCCGTCAAACTGGCCTGAGATGTCCAAGGCTGGAAGCGGGTCCAGCTCCCCCAACTCCCTAGGCGTGGGAACTCGCATTGGGTCAGTCTTGGCTGTGTCCATGACGCTTCGCCATAGATCAAGCCACCGGTTGTCGGAGTTTGTGTTGAGCTCTGCCTCCGACGGAGGGGGATCCAGGTCTTCAATGTCATCCAAGGGGTGTTGGGGGGAGGGTTGGGGAGGTGCAGGGCGGGGAGGGGGGGTTGGGAAAGCCGCCGCGGGTGCAGGGGTAGGGGGCATGCTGGCGTTGTTGCGGCTAGCACGGGATGGGGGTTGCGGTTGTTGCCCAGGTTGCTGCTGTGGCCAGGACTGTCGCTTGTCCTGACTGCTCCAGTTGCCTGTGTTGCTGGTGCTGTGGCGGTGCTTGCTCCAGCGGCTTGTACTGTGGCTCTGCGGTGGGTGTCCCCACGATTGGTTCCACCAGCGTGGAGAGGACGTCGGTGTCCCATCCGGAAGTGCGCCGGGAAGTGGAACCTTGGGAGGGGCTCGATGTGGAGCCGTGGTCCTGGGTGTGGGGGAGTGTCGTTGGGAGGACCTGCGCCGGGGGGAGCGTGAGCGGAGGGAGATGGGGTTGCGGTGCGATCGCCTGGAGCGGTGGTGGGGCCGTGAGGGGGAATGTGACCGGCTGGAGCTGCGTGCTTGCCGGGTGGTGTGTCGCCGTGGCGACTTGTCGTCCACGGTGATGACTGGTGTGGGAGTGTGAGTGGCGGTGTCGTCTGTGACGGGAACGGGATCTGCGGGAGTGGGACTGGGGACGAGTGTCCGTGGGATGTGGGTTGGTCGAGGAAGCGGCGGCAGGAGTCGTAGCAGCTGCATCGGCTGCGCGTGCCGGCTGAGGCTCGGGCAATGAAGATGGCATGCTGCTCTGAGCCATGAAGGGCATCAGGGCGCCGGATGTCGCGTTGCCAAAGTTAGAAGGCCACCGTAGGGCATCACGGACATCGGGTTGCCAAAGTTCGGGAGGCCACCATAGGGCATCATGGAAAACGGTGCAAAGGGCCGGCCGCAATGCTTTGCAGGAGCGAATGCATCATGTCATAGAGCTGGTGTCCAGCCATCTCGCAAGGGAGAGAGAGGGTTGGAAAGAGAGGGAAAGACAACTGCGGCATGGGCAGGCACGATGTAGCAACTGATTCACACATGACCTGTGCCTCAAAAAAGGTGCCTTGTCGGTCCAACTCATGTCAATGCAGGTGTCGCTTGAACGTGAAAGTGAATTGAACTGATCAGAGTCAGTGCAGAGCATAAACCGATGAACTGCAAAGTCGGTGTTTGACCGACCTGTCCCTTGCACATGCGGCAGCCTAGCCGAAACCTCATGAGAGCTGCCTTGTTCAAAATGCAGGCAGTGCAAGCAGTGCAATGCGAATGCGAATGGTACCTCACCTGCAAATTCGCTGCCTTGATCATGGTCAATCGCGCTGAACTGCAGCTTGAATTTGAACGTATGAACGGTCTTCCCCTCGCAGGGGGCTCCCGCATGTGGCGAGTCCAGCCCACAGCGCCATGTCGGACAGGCCGTGGGTAAACACACTTATCTCGAGAGGCTTCACTAGCCGAGATGAAAAACGCAGTCAGTAAAATGCTTGAATGCAAATGCAAATCAACAGGTCACAACATCGACACCGAACAGGAAGCAACAGCGACAAACAGGAACCGCAAAAGGAATTTCTCATCGCTGCAGGTACGTGGATTCTGCGTCCAGAATCCATATCAGCACTGATGGAAGCCTCTTCGTTGGGCCGTCACTTCCATGCAGTGGACAGCCCCCCTGCTGCTTAAAGTTTTGCGTCCGTGCTCCAGGACGGTTCACACACACACACATTCGTTGATGATGGGCCTTTCAAGCGGTCCATGTGTGGCTACACAAGGTGTGCAAGCAGCAAAAAAGGAACCGACTACAAGTTGTTTGCCGACGTCCAGAGCTTTATTTTGCTAAGGTCCTTGCACATGACTGCACAACCGACATTCCAGCATGCAAGTCCAGCAGCTGTCAGATCATAGGTGTATTTAGATGACGGAGTTAGGTATTGTGTTTCTCTAAATCGTATGCTGCGCGCAGCACTGTTTTGAAGGGAAGAGTGGACGAAGCTAGTCTGCTTTTGACAGCCACGCAGTACCTTCAGTTGGTCATGTCTCGTGAGCAACCCAGTGTACAGCCAGCACAAACAGACGCCCTTGGCTGAACGCAAAATTCCGCATCCTACTTTCAAGCAACTGAGCACAATGAGCGTGACGGAGTTCTGATCTTCTCAGACCTCCAATGGTGCTGGTTTCTCCTCTTGGAGAGGGTGCCCCTTGCAGATCAAGTACAGAAAAACAAATCCCGTGGTCATTGCCCAAGCTTGGGACGGGAGCGGCCTTCCGACCGGGTCGAAGGTTGTATCGAGAGTGGGATGACGAGCTGGCACCCGCGGCCAATTTCTCGTATGCGGTGCAACGTGAGGGGAGAATGAATGTTAACCGAGTGGAAATTGCCTGGATGGCCTGTTAAAGTGTCGGTTAAAGACAGCAACTAGGGTGTGTAGGTGATTGTTTCATTTGCTGCATTGCTTTCTAATTGGAGATGTTTCCTCTTCCGTTGAGTATGCCTGTTTGAATGTGTTGGTCGTGGTTGGCTGTGGGGATTGGCAATAAATTGTTGGTCAGCGGTGACGTGTTGGGAACTGCGGCCAATTCCTTTCAAGGGCATAGGTATGTGGCTGGCAAGCCTACTGCCTTGCAGGTACCCAAGGCCGCCCGTGTTCATCTGCGAACTTTCCTGTTTCATGATGTCCTTCCGAGACCAGTGTTCACAACGTTTAGCGAGCCGATCAAGGCAGAGAGAGATGCAGGCGTGTCCTTTGTTGGCAGCGGACATGTTGAAGAACTACTGCAGGCGCCAGTCAAATATTTTGGGTGAGGAACAATCCTGGTCCCAGTATCGCAACTCCGCCATGATTCGCACTGTTTTGTTTGCGTCAAACGGGAAGGCCCTTTTTTGGATTCTGGGACCACATGTGTCATGGATGCACTTGCCATTCAGTCACTAGCCAGGATTGCAGCATTTTCGATGAAGAGATGGCACCTTGGAAGATTAAGCCCGTGTGAACTGCACATGGGCCCCATAGGGAGTTTGTTCATGATCGAGTCCTTTACTCTGCAGCGTTGTTGGAATTTGTACGTTGCGTTTTACTTGGCGGTGCCCCGGGACATTCTGCTTGAGACAAGCCCGACTTTCATGGTGATTGCCATCAAAATAATGGATGAGTGCACCACAAGCCCAGAGCCTTCGTGCAAGTTCCACAGTTCGGGGAGTAGTAATTAGTTTCAGATGTTTCGGCAAAACCAGATATACCGAAAAGGGCATGAGGAAGCACGCAACACCAGCTGGGTGGTTCCTTGGAGATGCTCGATTTGGTCAGCGAACGAGGTGCAAGATGCTCTGGAGCCCCTGCTGGACGGGAAGGGGGAAGCAGAACGCATAGCATAGGTCTGAGGTCGCCTGACAGGAGAGAGGAGGCTGCTTGCTTGACTTCCATTCCTCGAGCTTCCTGGATGCTTAGAGCTCAGGTCCGGGTCAGTTCTGTGCACAGCAGAAAGGATCCCTTTGGTCGTGGAAGGCACGATCGCTACCTGCTCCCAAAGCTTTAGGAAAATGACTTCGACCTGGTCATTGTTCTTCGAGCGGACACCAGCGCAGGGGTCTCAGAAACGTTTCAGAAGGACGTGCAAGAGCTGCCGAAGCAGCCAAGGTTTTGTATGACCGCTTGGAAAAGAGGCATTATCCTGAAAGCAAGATCAAGCAGAATGTTGAGGCGCGCGTGAACCGCAACACAACGGCTCTTTGTTGGGCTGTTTTGAAAGATCTTGCAAGCCTCGTTGTAAGGCTGAGATTTTCCAGAGTTGCTTAGATGAAGCGCAGGAGGTGTGGGACCCAAGTTGTGTGCCTTGTCAACGTCGACACGTCTCAGGCCTTTGAAGAGACGACGGTCAGCATTTGGGAGTTGCAACACGATACCGAGGCAAAGGGCTACCTACCGTGTCTTGAGGGGTCACGCAGTGCTGAGGAACACATGGAGGATGCTTTGGAGAGAGCGCAGCCCAGCCCTCAGCATGCCAATTGCCTTCATTGCAGTGCGATTCCAGACACCCTTGACACGCCGACTGTGTCAACTGAGGGAGTTTGTGTCAAAGTACATCTAGTGATCGCTTCACGCCAAGAAGGTTGCACTAGTTGCCAGAAAAGCAAGTGGCAAAAGCATCGGGCTTTGCAAGAGAAGTTGTCCTTGATCTTGTTTTGTCTTCTGTCGTGTGTGTGTGTGTCTGTGTTCTTTTCATTTCTCTTTTGTTTTTCTCTTTTGTTTCTCGGAAAACTGACAAGAAGCATTAATGAGTGTGTGCTCTTGTCGAGTTGCAGATGCCCATGTCAGGCTGGCAGGCACTGCAGGCCACTCGCAGCATGTCTGAATCGCACGAATCACATCAAAGGGTGAGTGTGTCGAAACTGTTTGGCTCGAATGGGAGCTGTTTCAAGAGTTCGCTCATTTTGTTGTTCAGCACTGCTAAAGCAGCGAGCTGAGCAGCCAAAGAATTTGCATTACTTCCCCCATCAATAGATTCATGTGTTTTCCCTGAGCCCGACTCTCCCAATGCTAAATTTGAATTAGCAAATGTCAAAACACTGAACCAATTCTAAACACATAGATTTCGCGTCGACTTCAGCTGCAGTCAACATCTGCGCTGCGACGCTTTTAGTCACTCACTTGAAATTGAGTGAGGGAATGTGGTTCCCAGTGGCAACGCTACTTCTTGGCCTCACCGCTTTGACCGCTGCATCTGACGCGCTTTGCCCTGCCAGCTGCACAGCTACTGTGGATGGTTCTTCTTGGCCCTGCCGCTGCTCTGCCGGAAGCGGTTCGTTCGTTTCTGACCCCTTGGTTCCGTTTTGCCAGGCGGTTGTCCATTTGTTTTTTTTAAGATAACCAGGCGCTTGGTTTTGGCAAGTGAGGCTATCACAGCAACAATTGCATGGTCAATATATCGTTCGATGACACACGCTCTTCGGCTTCAGTCGAAGACATCAATGTGGCCATCATCAACCCCTATGAGGGCGGATTGGGGGATCTTATGACGATGGTTGAGCCCTCCATCAGACAAGCGTTGCAGCAGATTGAGGAGAGTAACCTGCTGCCCGGCTATCGGCTCAATGCATACGTCGCAGATTCCAAGTGCACAGAGGCGGATGCGGCGCAAGCCACTGTTGCAGCTCTGTCCACGGGACCCAAGAAGCATATCCTCTTCAGCGATTCCTGCAGTGCGGCTTGCGAAGCAGTCAATGACGTAGCGCAGTATTGGAATGTCTTGCAGGCAGGCAACTGGGCTGGCAGGCAAGTGGTGGAGTTGGCGCTATAAGCAAATGCGCTCCGATGTTTGCTACTGGCAAAGGTTTGGCTGTTTGCGTGCCATGTCCAAAACCTGTTAAACAGCGGTGTTTTGGACTGGTCCCGCGGAACGAAGCAAAGAGCTGAGAAGTAGGGCAATGGCCAAGTCCTTGCGCGGGGAATGTGGCCCCCTGTGACACGTTGCCCCGGATGCTGGGGAAATGCAGACCTGTCAATCCCAAAAAGTTTGTAGATACTGGGGGGCAGAGTCGCTAGCCTGAGGCAGTTCGATATAGTCCTGTGTTGTATGTCGCGAAAAGGTGACAGTCACACAGGTGAATTGCTGTATGTATTAGGTGATGTGCTATTGGCAACTACTGGCAGATCCTGGCAGACCGCAACCAGGACTTTGAACATGCAACCAAGACATCCCCAGACAGCCCAACCGCTGTAGAATCCCACCGAGGCAAGCAGCATTGTGAACGCTAGGGATTTGCGCAATAGACCAAGACAAAACGCAAAGTTCACGCATTTGAAGGCAAAACATGGGAACGAACACAAGGTGTTCGATTTTGGGGCACCGTGCAAAGATCAGCGAAGGCAAAAGTGGCTTGTCGAAGACCATGCTCTCATTTGCATTATCATTGGGACGCGAACCATGGCGAAATCAGTTGATGACTACGAACGCCCACCCCAAATGGGAAATGCTTTGCTGTTGCATGGTTTTGGTGGGAAGCCCATGTCGGATTTGGCAGGTAGGGCCTGGCTGTATCTCAGTGAGCCTGAGCAACGCAGAGCGTTACCCTTTCTTCACGAGGAGCCGTTGACATGCGTTTTTTTTTTGAGGTGTTGTGAGGTTTGCGCCTTCAGATTACTTTAGATGGATCTTCATTCAAAAGGTTCTCTTGAGGTTTGGCTTGGGCTTCCCTAATTGGCTTCCTTTGCAGGGGATGTTTCCCACATTGACGGATCCATTGCGTAATTCCAAGCAACTCAAGCTCTGGTCAAAACGCTACTCTGGTGCATTCCTTGCATCCAATAGCTATGTTGCACAACACAGAGACACACACAGACACATACACAGACACAGACACGCGCACGCAGGCACACGAGCACGCAGCCACGCAGGCAGGCAGGCAGGCACGACGCAGGCACGAGCCACGCAGCCACGCAGCCACGCAGGCAGGCAGGCAGGCACACACACACACACACACAGCACGCGCGTGCGAGATCTGGCACAGTTTAGCATAGTTAGTATTGCATATGCATCATAATAACAGAATGGGAACCCAGGGTTAACAAGCTTCTGCTTGATTAACAGGGGTGGCCTGCCTATTTTTGTATTTAGTTAGCTGTAAAGCGCTTTGCAGATTCTACTTGCCTGTGCAAGTGCATGCGCTCAATCCTCACTCATGGATTCTATCAATAATTTGGGCCGAAATAATGGGTAGATAGAATCAACTGAAACCATTTCGTAGTCAATAGCGCAGTCCCTGGCCCAAACCTGCCTGCAGGTTCTAACCTCGCTTCGGCCCCAAACAGCCCCTGAGGGTCGCGGGTTCGCTTCGGTCCTAGTTGCTGGCTCGCTTCGGTCCTAGTTTTCATCTCGCTTCGGTCCTAGTTTCCTTACTCGCTTCGGTCCTAGTTTCTTCGCCGTTGACTATGGTGTTTGAGAGGCAACATCCTTGTCGACCCCACCCCACCCGGCATGTCTTGTTGTTAGATGTTTGAGAGGCAACATCCTTGTCGACCCCACCCCGCCCGGCATGTCTTGTTGTTAGGTGTTTGAGAGGCAACATGCTTGTCGACCCCACCCCGCCCGGCATGTCTTGTTGTTAGGTGTTTGAGAGGCAACATCCTTGTCGACCCCACCCCGCCCGGCATGTCTTGTTGTTAGGTGTTTGAGAGGCAACATCCTTGTCGACTCCACCCCGCCCAGCATGTCTTGCTGTTAGGTGTTTGAGAGGCAACATCCTTGTCGACCCCACCCCACCCGGCAGTTCTTGTTGTTAGGTGTTTGAGAGGCAACACCCTTGTCGACCCCACCCCACGCGGCATGTCTTGTTGTTAGGTGTTTGAGAGGCAACACCCCTTGCGTGTGTCCTGTTGTTAGTGCTCAAAAAGCTATCTTCCACTGCGCCTGAAGTGATCCAAAAATTGCGACAGAAGTGATCCGCAAATGCTCAAACTACGACCAAAGTGAGTGGATTTCAGCTGCGACCAAAGTGATCCAAAAACTGCGACCAAAGTGACCCCCCCGCCGCCCCTGAGTGCCTCACTCTTGCCTTGCTATTTGCTACCACTTTTGCCCACCCCCTCCTGCTCAAGTGGTTGGAGTTCCTTCTTCTGGGGCCCGTTCTTCCACCAGGTAGATATTTTAGGGTCAGCATTCTGCATGAGTTGTGAATATTATTATGTGTACCCATGTTGCATAGTCGTTGCAACAGTACAGGATTTGATGTTCCAAGTTCGCAACAAGTATGCCTGCCTTCGACGCGCTTCCTACGCATGCAAATTGCCCACCTGTGGTTCTCATTTTGCATTGCGTCACAAGAATCTAAGCCCCCAAGCTGTGCTGCGCGCAGGATGGCTCCCTCGTTTCGTTTCAATGTCCTTTCCATCTACGAGATGTTAAGGTTTTTGGGCCTCCATCGTGTGGGCATCGTTTACGGCTACCGGAGCATCAACATCTTGGCCAAGGACCTCTACCTGTCAAACATGGGAAGCCACAAACCAATTGTTTGGACTGGCTCCCCGTTTCAAGGGGTGGTTAAAGGAGTCTCACCATCGGCTGAAGGACCTGTTCCTCGCATTGATGCAAAAAGATGTGGATGACGGTAGCTACTCATGGACGCCATTGTATACCAAGCAAGTCCAAGTTTTGGATGATGCCAAAGCGGCGGTGGAGCTGGTGAGTGACCGGGACGCGCGGATCAATTTTATGGCTCTTTACGAGGCCAGAGTCTGAGAGTGTCCCTTTCAAGGGTTCTTCCCGCAATGCTTTAGAAGAAGCCTTGTTTTCCTCTCGAGTGTTGATTCCTTTAGTATGTGCCCTGCAAGGTGGAGGGATCTATGCTGCTTTGTCAGGCGTACCAGCGTCAGATCATGGCTCCCTCCTTCCTTTGGCTTGCAGCAGCCGGCCGGGGGTGAAAGATAGAGCCAGTTGAACCATGGACCCCTAGGGCAAAAGAGAGGTGCAGAAGATCTGCTGGAAATGTGTGCCTAATTGTCTCAACCCATCAGGATGGTGGAACCGGAACTACATCACTTTGAATGCTGGCACGGTGTCGTGCCCTTGCACGGCGCAGGAGTTGCATCGAGCCTCATATGCGATGATCGCCAGTGATCGTGGGCCAATGCTGAATACGGAGGATGTTCACGGCCTTTCGGGTGTGAAGCTTGCAGACCTGTACCGTGACTACACCGAGGTCTCTTGACTGGCTTACCGTTTTGGATCAAGGCGGTTTGCGGAGTGTTTGCTTCAAACACGTCGTGCTGCTGTTTCTATTCAGAGCCAGCTAGAAGCCTTTGTTCAACTGTTCAATATTTGTTTTGTCGTCAGGAATGCGAGAGTTTCGCCAATGGCAAGGGAGTTTGCAACCACCAGTGGGCTGGATACTTCTATGATGGAATCTGGCTCATTGCTTCAATCCTGCACCAATACCTGGGGAGTGGAAACAGGCGCTGGCCTCTCTCAAATTGGTTGCTTGAAAAAATGGGGGAACCCCAAGCAACTGTCTTCCTGTTGAATTCCCTTTAACATCAGCCCCTCAAAAAGTACAAACTCATTTGTAAAGTTTGTAATAGTGCGGTTGGCCACAGCTGATCAAGGGTCAAAATTCACCATGTACTGAGCCCATTCACACTCACCAAATTTCGATTGGGAGAGTGGGCTTACTCGCCAACGGCTGATGTCAGTTGCGAACTAATCGAAGGTTCACCGCGGCTCAATGAGTAAAGGTAGCAGCTATTTCACGCCCCTCCCCCCCCCCCACCAAAGTATAGTTGTGGCCTTTTTTCACTTGTGAGCCAAGACGCCGCGAGATTGGGAAAGTGCTTGGGTCGTGGCCGGCCTTCTTGGTGCTTCAAGGAAGCGAACAGGCAACGGACCATTTTGATGGATCCATGTCATATTTTAGGAATCACCCATTGGGGTATATGTCAAGTATTGGGCCCTCCAAAATGGGCGGCTCCTGTTTGGTTTTCCTTAAACCACACATACACACGCACGCCCGTTTAGCTGTAGCACTTAGACATACTTATAATGTGTGAAGGGCGGACATGGGCATACTCACCAAAGTGTAAGTAAAAGAGCTTGGCCGAAAGCCCGCACGACGACATCAGCTGCTGAACATTACAACCGTGGAGTGTTCCCACAATCCAGGCTTTCTTCAGGATTCTGGCTCAAACGAAGAAGAGGTGTCAAAAACGATGCTATCGCAAGCCCGAAGTCAGCAATGTTGTTGAGCTTTTTTTGGCCCTTGAGGTCGGTGAGTGACCTGGCTACAGAGCAGTCGCGCCAGGCTTTGTTTGACTTATCCATCAGAAGTGACTTCCTGGGTCAGACGGGACGGGTGCGCCAGTTCAATGGCGTGGATGTGGTTACTACACCCCCCTCACTGGGCGACCGCGATGGGATTGTTCTTCTGCGGCAGGTGACCAGCAACCCTGAGGATGCTTTCATCCAGCTGGCCTTCCGAACTTCCCAGGGCCTTAGTTTCAAGTCCAACATCTCATGGAGCCCAACGGACGCCACCAAGATGCTTTTCTGCCAAGGCTCCGCCTGCGACTTTGAGCAAGGCTGGATACCCGCGGATTTTTACAATGACTGCGAAGCGGGGGAGTTCTGGAGCTCGGACTTGGGGTGCTCACATTGCGCCCCCGGATTCTTCTCACCGCCTCAGAGCACAGAGCCACGGCTCGCATTTCGATGGCCTGTTGCAGATGGTTCTAAGTCAGTTTGGCTGAACGTTGATGGATTCCACTAGGAAGTTTGAGACTCGTTTACCACATCCATCATGGCCTTTTTTTTCTCCAAGGACACCTAGAGGATTTGTGTCTAAACCTTGTGATCTTGTTCTCCTGGAAGTAGAGAGATGTGAATGTGTAAGGAGAATGACGCTGAGCGTTTTTGAGTTGAATGCCCGGGCCCTCAGGGTATGCTTGCGTAAGGAGTGCCAAGAGTGCATCGAGGGCACCTACAGCAACGCGAGTGGCGCAGCAAGCTGTTCACAATGTGAGCCAGGGAAGTATTCCTGGTTGAGGAAAGCCACTTTCTGCTTTGACTGCTGGGAAGGCAGGAGAGAGACGGTAGAGGTGTCTGACATTCTGCCCATGCCTGTTGGGTTTGACACCAACCCCCCTAATCCCCCCCCCACGGGATTGACTGGTGCCTGACCGTTCTTTGCTTGCAAGCGGCAATGCCAAGCGGCAATGCCAAGCGGCAATGCCAAGCGGCAATGCCAAGCGGCAATGCCAGGCAACTTCATGAACCATTCTGGCGCCACGGATTGCTACAAGTGCCCACTGAACACCTTTGCCACCGCCAAGGGCCATGAACTCTGCCAGCCCTGCCCCCGTGGCCGCCAGACCGAGTTCGAGGCGTGGGTCAAGAAAGGTGACTGAGTGGCTGAAGGGGTGGTGGGCAGTAGGTGAGCAGGTAAATGGGCAGGTTGCGGTGCTCATTGGCTCTTCCGGCCTACAGAAGATTCTTGAGGTTCCACGGAGCGACTGCTGGATAGGGTTCCGGAGAGCAGTTGCTGGATTTTCGGGTTTTGCTTCTATGGGCAGCTCGTTTCAAAGGGTTCCGATGTGTGTTGGAGGGCTCGAAGGTGCAGAGCGGTTGGATTGTGTCCCGAGGGTTTTCGAGGGTTCCCCGAAGGGTTGTGGTGGTTGGGTGGTAACTGATGTGCGGTTCCATACGCTGAGAATACCGCCGGTTTGTTGGAGCGGCATTCGGCATTAGCGGACTCGGGTAGTGCACGTTGGGCTTGAAGGCAGGCATCTTCAAACGCATGGAGTCACGCTATGCAGCTTGGGAAGGATTTGTTCAATTTGTTTCAAAACGCAAGCAGCACGCCCTTTCACTTTGGCTAGGTGCAACCTGGTATCGGCATTGAGGCAGCGGTTGTTTTTCAACTGGTGGATAGTGTTGGCTCTCAAGTTAAGGAGAGATCTTGCACAGTGGACGTATGTTTTGTAGTCAGAGTGGCCAGCTTAAGGCACCTTTGATGCCCTTCAGTTTTGTTTGTGGATCGTTGTAGTGCATGCCAGTTCCGTTCTTCCATGCAAGACACCATTCCGATTGACAGGAGGCCCAAGGGGTTTGGAAGAAATATGTTTCCTGCTTGCCAGCCCCGCTTGACTCCGGACTCCGGCTTTGCCAGGGAGCCTCAGCAGAGGAGATGTGTAAGTGTCCAAATGGCCAGCGCGTCTCCGACGGCGTTTGCGTTGAGTGCAAGGGCTCGGAGATTTGCCAGGGAGGTGTTTTACTTGGATTTCGCCCAGCTAGATATGAGTGGATTACATCTTTGGATGCTGCAGGAAGTCAGCGGGCCAGAGTGCAACTGATCAGCAAGCTGTTTCTGTTGATCGCCGCCAACATTGAACCTGAAGAGTCTATGAGCAAGCTCCTGCTGGCTTTAGACGCTGCCAGCCAGAGCCTCCACAATGCGTTGAATGGAAACTCCAGCCTGGGAGCGATTTGGACTCCAAAAGACGGACGTTGGCCGAGTGTCTTTCACTTTTTGGTGGGCTGTACCCGGTTGAATGGTCATTTCTTGCGCCTAGGCGTCAGGTCCAGCTGCGCTTCCCGAAGGCTGAATCCCAACTTCCATCTTCAGATTGCGATTGTTTTCCTGGGACACCGGCATCTCCTGAAGCAAGCGCAGCCAGCGCTAAGATGCTCCAAGCCCGAAAGGGCCTCCCTACACGCCACAGTTGCCTCAGACGACTCTTAAAATGCTGGGTACCCAAAGGCTCCCATGGCTGGCCCCCAAAAAACCGGCTCCCAATACCCCCTGTTGGGGTGTGTTTGATCTTTTGTGGCTCTTCTTGGATCTGCCTCTCGTATTGCCACCGCCAGCACCCTCCGCCAACTCTCCTTGGAAGCAGCATTCATCACAAAGTTAACAAACCCCTCGACGGAAAGTTGCCAGAGCATGCGTAGTGTGACCTTGCGCTGCGGAAAGCTGGGGCGGGGGGAGACGCGCGCAGGCATCGCCTTGACATTGCTGTGTTTTGCTAAGTGCCACAATTGCAGCCAGATAGATGAAGGCTAGTTCGTAAAGTCCTGGCCATGAGCAGGTGTGACATCCACCCACCTAGTTCTTTACCATTGAATGGCTTGGTGTAGACCCCATGAGGACTAATGATCGCTTCCCCCGAAAGCTAAATCCCCCCCCTCCCCTCCCCGATGAATACGTATTGTTTTGGGTAAACATCTATATTTAGCAGGGTGCCAGAGATCTTTTCCTAGGCAAACGTCCAGCACTGGAGGGACTAATGTTGATACAGTCCAGGTCTGCGTGCTGAGTTTGGGCCTCTGATTTTAGTGGGTCATCGAGAAAACAAAGGAAGTGCTTGAAGTACCCCCTAGCAAACTGTGTCTGAAGTTTAGTATTTAGTGTTGTGTCAATTAAAAGTAAACGTGGGATATAAAATGTTTGGATGTCTGAACAAAGATGTTCATTAGTAGGGGTGGATCTAACAATAGGGGGAAGCAATTCGGTTTGATTCTGACTCATGGCCTGTCAAACATGGGTGTGCCTAAACACATGGGCCCGAAAACTACTCATTTACCCATGCGTAAGGTGATCTCGCCGCCCGACGCGGAAGTCCAGACGGATTTGGAGTCCTACGGGAGCCACCTCGGGGCCTTCAGAACGCTGCTGCTGGGTGGATTGGAGCAGATTCGTACGGAGGCCGTCCCAGGTCATGGGGGTACCCACGGGTGCCCCGTTTCCGAGGTTGCGCCATGGTACGCCCCGTTTGCCAAAAGACGATGGCCAACTTTGAAGCGATTTGTATTATATGTGGGATAAGTTGGGATATCTTTAATTCCCCCAATGCAACATCCACTTTGGAAAAGTAGAGGGGGCTTTTACTTCGGAGCTTCACAGCGTGTGCCGAAACAATAGGAGTTGAATTCCGTGAAACGAGAACTTGCTCGGCTTTTGTTGCTTCCGATCTGAAGCGGAAGTTCGGGACACCCTTGGCGAAGCGGAGGCATGTCCCATTTTGGGGCACCCGTTACCATCACTTAAGGCGCAACGGATTTTGACAGGAATGGGGAGGGCCCGTAGTTTTGGCGGCGGAAGCTGTTCTAGACGCCTTTCGATTGACACCTACAAGTGGGGTTGTCTCAAAGCAGGGGGACCCACAAAATGGTTTGTGTTCTTTTGGCTGTTCTTTAAACCAAACCGGTGAGTGTCCCGTTTCATAATTTGCCCAAAGCTGAGCTTCCCGAGTTTGAGCCAGTCACGCGACAAGCGCCTTCATTCAGGCAAGTGATTGTTTGGTGTGTCCTTTCCTAGCAATCCGGATGAACGGTATATTCCGCAGACACATGTGTCCAGCCAATTAGTTTCGTTCCATGTTAAAGAAGTTAGCTTCCTAAGCGAAAAATAAGAGTTTACCTTTGTTCTTTTCACCAACTGAATTGAATAGCATCAGGACCCGGCAATGGCTGCTTTCAATTTGATTCCATTCGGACACACCTTAGGTTAGAAATAGGCATTGGACAGCACTTTAATTTTGCAGGTGAAGACCTGTCATCGCATGGTGCTGCTATAATCTGGTGTAGAGGAGATTGGTTTAAGGAAAGGGACACTTTCCGGGGTTCCTTTTAGAAGAGGGGCACCGCTCATCAGAAGCTCCAAAAAAGACAACAGTTGCTGTTAGGAATTCCGTGCGGTTGCCTTGTAATTTTGGTTTACCATCCTTTGCCCTCGTAAAACAGGTGGCATTGGGCACTCACCCAAGGACCGGGAAATGAAGTTCGATCTCCAGCAAATAGTAAACCTTTAGATGCTAAATCGGATTTTAGTCGAAAGCGGAGTTTGAGTAGGTTGGGGGGTCCACGTAAATCAATGCAGAAGTGTGTCTTCTGTTGAGTCGGGCGCTGCAGGGCGCTGCTTCCATGGATAAGCTGCAGGCCGTCAAGGAAAGCACCGACACCATCGCAGCAGCGGCGCAGAAGGTGGTTGACTCCCTCACCAAAGCAGCCACCAGTTCAGGCCCGCGTCCAAACGAGGTCTTTCTTTTGCCCATGTATTCTGGCACCCCCAACAAAACGGGTTACCAAGCGTTGGAGGTTATTAGGATGAGGGGCACATCGGCTGGTTCGGACATGTGAGCGCCTCCGCAGTGCTTGCTCCATCCGATGTCTGAGTGATAGCGGTTTCGCAGGTGAAGAGGTAAATGGAGTGGTTCAAGACATTGCTGGCCGGCAGCGCGCGTTGATCCAGAAGATGTGCAAGGAAGCGCTGCTGGTGTCCTTTGGGGTTTCCTTGACAGAAACGTGGGCAGCGTTTCAAAACACCATCTCCGTGTTTGAGCACTCCCACGAGGGCTTGATCTTTGGCATAGAGGCGGTGGGTATCCCTGCGTTGACGCAGATGTGCACGATGCAGCAAATGCGAGAGGTCAGCTATTACTTCTCCAGGATGCTTCAGTTTCTGAGGTTGATCACGAATGCCCAATCCAACTCAGAGAGCCAGCAGGTCGCTCAGAGTGTTGTGCGGAACATCTCCAGCCTCGCAGATCCGTTTTTCGATGCCATGGTGCTGGCGGTGCAGCTCTACGTGAACGACACTGGGGAGTGCAACCCCTTGGCCACCACCACCCGAGGTCCCTTGGATCAGTGCTTACCTTTTGATGATTTGAGCCATGGCCTATGAACCTGCCTTGAGCATCGCCATGGCCTTTCCTTAACTCAGTTGTTCAGTGTCCCCCTTTTTCCTTTTTTTTGTTGGTGGCTGCCCACTAAAAATGGTCTTCCCAAAAAAGGGTTCCCTTTTCTTCCAGGGTCACTGAACAACTGAGTTAAGCTTTGTTTCTCACTCGTACCAGGAGAGTGGTGGCACCTGCTGATGGGCATAGCGGACTTTCGCATCGGGCTTCTCTCTGCAGTGCGCCTGTACATGCAGGTGGCAAATCGCATGGCCGGCCAACTGAGCCCCCGGGGCGGCACTGGAAGTTATTTTATTTCCTCTGTTGATGTGTTGGGCCTGTTTGGAAAGAAACCGAAGACACAACTGGTTTGTGTTGAACCTGCAAGACATGTTACTCCATTCGCCAATTCATACCAAACCAAAAATCTCAGCAAACCCTCGAATTGGAATCTTCGTGGAGCTCAGATGGACCTGAGGCCAAGTGGAACTTGCGTCAATTCTGCCCAGGGAGACTGAGCTGGGCAAGAGCCTTATGCAAGGAGACAAGTCTGGCGCGTTGCCTGCGCCGCCCACCCCCGAGCTGCTGAATGTCTTCGTGGCCACAAAAGATCAATGGGGCAGTCTGTCAACATTAATGGTGGAAGCGGTCGAAGGAGAGGATTTGCCCGAGGCGCCCCTTGCCAAAGCGGATTCGGTGTTGAGCTCAGCTCGGAGTGAACGTATTTTAAGTGGCATGCCAACTCGATGTCCAACATGTGCGCCATGAACATGACCATACATTTCTACCCTCCAAGAGTGTTTCTAGAAGCCACTTGCCATCAGCTGGTTTTGCAAGACCTTGTGTTTGCATGCACTTGAAGTGTGTAGGATCACAAGTGCAAGTCATTGCAAGTTGTCTTGGAAGGTCAATGTGCATCGAGTGCTGCTGCTGGGTGATCAGCTTCTGGGAGATTTTAATGAGGCGATGAAGTTGACCATAGAGGCAGCCGAGTTGGCCGGCATCAGTTTTCAAAGCCGCATCTTGGACCTCACCCACCGGCAGCAGATGCGGTTTCCCCAGATCGTCAGCCAGGCGCTCACGATCTTTTTCAGAGATCCAGATAGAAGTGGCTGGGTGGAGCTGAATGCCACGATCTTGCAGTTCCGTTCACTTCATTCGAAGCTACTCCTGGGCGGCTTTCCTGAGGAAGAGCACCTACATAGCAGCAACTTCACTTTGCGAAAGGTCGGGGACGTGTGCATTGTCCGTCAAATGGCACGAATCATGGTGTACTATGATGAAATGGAGCAGCTGGTCTACCAGGTTGCTCATGCCACCCTAGAGCCTTCAGGACTTCAGAGGCTGCTTGAGCTCAACGTTCTAGGCATGGACGCCATGGAGGTGTGCTCCCATGAGCTGGAGGAGTACTATGACGGAGAGCATCACGGTTGCGATAACCAAAGCCTCGCAGTCGATGAGTGGCTGGTTTTGATTGAGGAGGTTGCTGGCTTGACGGGCTTTGGCCAGGATGTCGTGAGTGAGCTTGTGCTGTCCCAGCAAACAAATCCGCTGGTGAGCAGGCTTGATGCCACAATTGCCCAGTTGACCTCCTCGTCGCAGAGAATATTGGTGGGTTCTGCGCGGCCACTGGTGCCTGTTCAGCCGCCTAGTTCAGTGGGTACTTTGTTTTCCCCTTTGTTGTTTTCCTATATTGGGTTTCCCCAAGTGTTGCAACTGGAAAAGGACCAGCCCAGCTTGGAAGGCCTACTGCCGGTCTTTTCGCCCGCGTCCTTGACGTGGAATCGGTGGTGCTGGCGTTGGAGGAGGCTGCTGGTGCAAAGGACTTGTCGCAAGCGCTCGCCCAAGGCGAAGTTCTCTACACCCAAACTCAAGACACCCGCGCAAGTTACCCTTCCCACATAGCACCTGACAGAGGGTGCCTTAAGAATAGTTGATATTTGACATACCCAGGTGCTATGTTTGTGGAAGGGCAAGCAAATTTTGCTGATGTCTTTGCTGAGTTCCTGTTTTCAATCACAAGACCCTGTAGGCAGGCCGAACGGTGGGCTTCAACCAGATCTTGGTTCAACAAAGATTCCCCTTTGGGCCCTTTTTGAGGTTTGAGTGGAAATGAAGAGAACCGCCATTTGGGGGTGAGAACCAGTTCCACGTTTTTGCGGGCGAGGACCTGCTGCAGACCTATGTGAAGGAGGCTTTGAAGACAGACCCCTCTTGGCCCGGGAAGCGGGTCCAAGTGGCGGCCTGGCAAGCTGTCCTGGCGAAGAAGCCCGGCACAGCTCGGTGGTGAAAATGCGTTGCTGTTTGTCACTGAGGATCAGTCAGGTAAACCTTTTATTGGTGGTAAATGGGAAGATAGCCCCTAAGCGCCAACCCAGAGCGAGGGAAAGCTGGGGCTGCCCTTTCTGCCGAGGAAGATCTTCAAGCAGTCAATGCTGTCGAGGTTTAACATTTTTACTGACGAGGAGCTGAGAGCCAGCATGCAGAAGTTTCAGCAGAACCACCAGCAGCTGAAAAACGGAGGGGGTGGCTTGGAGCCCCTCCCTTCAGAACGTCAAGATCTCTTGGATATGTGGGGTAAAGTGGATGCAGCGTGGAACCGTTTCAATGCATCCTTGTCCGCTAGCCAATCGGAGATGGACTCTGCACTTACGGAGCTGGTGGAACTCTTGGAAGTAGATGTTAGAAGCTTCGCCATCAAGGACGTTTTGGTGGAAGAAGTTCTGCCCTGGTCTGCATACATCGCCTATTGCGTCCCAGCCTTGATCTTCCTGGTTTGCGTTTGCTGCGGCATTTATGTCTTCATGGAAATCAGACTTTGCAATGCTCAAAAGGCCGAATCATCCGTGTCCGGCAGTGTGGTGTGACCGTACCACACCAAAGGTGTGAAGCAGGGAGCACCGACTTGGCTTGAGAGGTGGACTGCTTTCTCTTGAAGGTCCAATTAGTCCCCGGCGTGAGCCGTGCAGAATCTCTGCAACACTAATCTGGACCGCTGACGGCTCGAACCGATCGAATGACATTTATCAGAGCTATATGTAACATATAATCACGCAATCTAGCTGGCAAGCCGCAGTTTTTCGCAAGAGGCCAGTCAATCACTGTTATACATCTGTTTTCTCCGCTCACTGGCTTGAGAAGAGAACCTTTCCGTCGCAAGGACGGCCTTACGAAGAGAAGAGCACAGCCAAAAGTGGACAGAAGAGCGGAGAGGGGAGCGCGGCCAACGGTTGGGGAGCAGTCAGAAATGGGGTCAAGCCTACGAGATTCGCTCCGCTCTCCTGACACTCTTCTACCCACTCTTTGTTTCTCCATTCTGTTTTTCCCCGTGTGTTTTAGATAATTGTGTATGTCCTTCTTATAAAATTAAACTATTGTGAATCCCTAAAATAGAATTTGGATTCCTTATATGAATATTGATTATCGAGTAATGTCCTTTACTATAAATACAACTTTAGAGCCTCCGGCTCAGTCCGCCGACATTGTCCTCTCCCTTTTCTCCTTCTTCCTCCCTCCCTTGTCTCCCTGGTGTGTTCTGTCGTCCTCTCTCCCTCCCTCCGCTCCCCATCCTCCCCATCCCCCCAAGCCACTCTCTCCCCAATCTCCCTCTCTTGTATGTATGTATGTATGTATGTATGTATGTATGTATGTATGTATGTATATATGCATGTATGTAATGTATGTATGTATGTAATGTAATGTATGTATGTAATGTAATGTATCTATGTAATGTAATGTAATGTAATGTAATGTAATGTAATGTAATGTAATGTAATGTAATGTAATGTAATGTAATGTAATGTAATGTATGTATGTATGTATGTAAGTTTGTATGTATGTATGTATGTATGTAATGTATGTATGCATGCATGCATGTATGTATGTAATGTAATGTAATGTAATGTAATGTAATGTAATGTAATGTAATGTAATGTAATGTATGTATGTATGGTAGGTAGGTAGGTAGGTATGTATGCATGCCTGCATGAATGTATGTATGTAATGCATGTATGCATGTATGCAATGTAATGTAATGTAATGTATGTAATGTATGTATGTATGTATGTAATGTAATGTACAGTAATGTAATGTAATGTAATATAATGTAATGTAATGTAATGTAATGTATGTAATGTGATGTAATTTAAAGTAATGTAATGTGATGTTGTGTAATGTAATGTTTGTCTGTATGTATGTATATATGTATGCTTGTATTTCCCGTTTGTTCCCTAATATTTCCCGCAAAAAACACTATTTTTTTAGCGTTGTCGTAAAGATGATGTTTAAAAACAGAATTTTTTTTAGATTTTCGGGAAAAGGATGTAGGAAGCCTAAGCCAGCAAAAAAGTCGGAAGGGGGAATTGAACCTGGGATTTTTGTTTTGCGATACTGGGTCCCCGAAGATTACGTTTAGTGGAATGTTATTAAATTGTTGTGCGGTCTTTGGGAGGCTCCCCCCTCCCCTCTCCGTATTAGACGTCGGGTGGGGGGGAGGTTAGGGGGGGGGGGGGATGCTTTATCCTCTTTTAGGTGTTTGATATGCCGAGTAGTGTCGGCGGATATGTTTGGTTAATAAACATAATGACGAATTTAACGAATATATATATATATATATTATAAATAGGTATTGTATATATATACATATAAGTTAAAATAATTTTGAGTTATTATTATTTTTTTATTAAATAGGGTTTGGAGTAAGTTGTTTTTTTTTGGTAATGGGAATATTATGAGGATTAAAATAAATTATTGTATGTTGATGGAATATTATGGAATATTATTTAATATTATATTTATTTTATTAAATATATTAATATAATTAAGGATATTTTATTATATTTTTAGTTTAAACAATGAACTTATGAAAATTGATTATTATATTTATATATAATGTTTTTGGATTATTTTATTATTATTTATTATTATTTATATATATTTATTGGGTTTTTTATGATTATAATTCGAAAAATATTATGATTATAATTTTAAATAGTGTTTATGGTAAGAATTAAGGCTTGGTATAGATTGAGGTGCTGGTTTAAAATTGTTGGCCTTGTATATAAACAAATGTATTTGATACGAGAATTTCACACGAAATGAAGGTTTGTGTCGGTGCGTATATTTCGTTGTGGTAAAATATGTTTTTTGAGCGGAGCTTTAAAGCTATGGTAATTGTTATAAGAAATTTTTTTGCATACAATAATTTCGCACGAAATGGATTTTTCTTCAAAATTGCGTTCTCGTTATGGTGTCGCGCCGATTTTCGAATTTGTATGGTGTCGTAGAATTCTATAGCTAGTATAACATTTTATGAAATTGTCATGCATTTTTCGTGATGGACATAGCATATTTTGCACTGATGTAATTGATGCGTGGTAGGCACAACATTTTCGGAAATTGAATTTCGTGGTAGGCTTAGCATTTCGCTCATTTGTAAGCATTGCAAAACGAAAATGAACCCTTTGTAGTGCTCGTGCGGGTCGAAACGCTCTTGCTGTGGCGTCGTGCGAATTTGTCTTGAATTCGGCGAACCCTCTGCGGAGATTGTGCGCGTCGAAGCGCTCTCGCTGTGGCGCCGTGCAAATATGTCTTGAGCTGGGCGAACCCTCTGCGGAGATTGTGCGTGTCGAAGCGCTCTCGATGTGGCGTCGTGCAAATATGTCTTGAGCTCGGCGAACCCTCTACGGAGATCGTGCGCTTCGAAGCGCTCTCGCTGTGGCGCCGTGCGAATGTGTCCCGGCTTAAAATTCGTAACTTCTAGGTGTAAAAATAATTTGTGGAAGATATTCCCTCAACTCCGGCTGAAAGTTCGCAAATTTTAACTACAAAAGTAGTATACGAAGAGCGCCCTAGAGCTGGCTTGCAAAATCGCAATTTTAAGTACAAGAGTAATATTGGAAGTGCTCTCCCGTCGCTCCAACTTGAAATTTGAGAACCGCAACTTTTTAGCGCAAAAGTGGTGCACGAAGTGCGCTCCCGCAGCTCCAGCTCGAAATTAGCGGGTTTTTTGGTGCAAAAGTCCTATGCGAAATGCGCCCGGAGCTCCAGCTGCAAAGTTACAATTTTGTATAAGTGTACGAAGTGCATTCCCGCTGCTCCGACTGCAAAATCGTAAGTGGCAACGTGCGCGCGAAGCGCGCTCGCGCAGCTCCAGGTAGTATGCGAAGTACACTTCCGCAGCCAAAAATTGCCAGTCTTCTTGTGCAGCCAAGCTGCTCACAAATAGGGACAAAAGAGTTTTTCAACAGAGGACATGAAATCAAAGATTTAGCAAGAGAGGTTGCAGAACATCATGCGCAGCATAATGCGCTGCATCGCGCGCCGCGTCATACGACGTCGCGCACCACATCACGCGCAGCATCACGCACAGCCTCGCGCGTAAAATCAAGCCACAGCATCATGCGCGCGAGAAGTTGACAGGAGAGATTATGAAGCATGATGCTAAGCTTGCTTATCAGAATCTATGCTTGAGCAGGGGCACCGACGTGTTTACGATCTCAGCAGGTGGGAGAAGCGTTAGTGTTTACGTAACGTTTTTCTATGTTTCTGGGCCACCTATCGTCAAGTTGGACGTATTGTTATTTGGGGTCTCTTGCCGGGATAATTTTTCGAATTATTTCGGAAACATGGGTATATAATTATATATGCATAAATTCTTATAATTATCTTCTAAGAATTTGAGGATGCAAGAAATTGTAATTCATGGCCGATTGCGATGACCATTTCCTAATATTTTCCGCGAAATTAGTTTGGTTTTGCTTGTATTTAGGATGTTTTTTAATCGATCGTGCTTACGATTGTTTAAGGCAAATAGTTCATAAATGCGTTTTCACCTTACTTAGGCGACGGTTTTACTAACTCTTTGGCATAACCTTATCGCGATATCCGGTCTTTAATGTATCTCGCAATTTATATTTGGAGAATAGTATGTTTTTCGCATGTGAAAAATGTATATTTCCACACCTAGCTACATTCCCTGCCCAGAATAGCCAAAAAAAAGATCCTTGAGATCACATGGACATGGGGCATTTCACCTGCAGGTCAGGAAAGCATACGTAAATATTTCCATTTTTGTTTTATATAATATAATTAAAGGAAATTTATAAGGAAATGTCCGAGTTACGGAAACTAATTGCAAGCTGGCTGGTGTAGGGAAGGAAGAAAGAAGAATACAAGGCGCGCGAGAGAAAATATGCGTATGCGTGTAGCGGGGGAATAGAATTTACGAAAAGGTGGTGTGGAGCTGGCTGAAAGTTGCCTCAGCCCCGGCGTCTGAGGGAGAACGGATACGGGACGATCTCGGGACGGGGGCGGCGCCGGGAGCATTGGCACGGCAACGCAGAGAACGCAGAGAATTCGTAAGATTTGAATTACGTGGCAGGCACATTATGACATTCGTAACATTTTCGAAAGCTCAGGCGCAGATTTCGTGGCAGGCGCAGCACCTTCGCAAGGTCAAGCACAGATTTCGTGGCAGACGGCAAAATTCGTGGTAAACACATTACTTTCATAAGGTCAAATACAGATTTCGTGGTAGGAGCAGCACTTTCGCGAGGTCAAGTGCAGATTTCGTGGCAGGCACAACACTTTTGCAAGATCAACTTTCGCGACCGGGGCTAAAATCGCAACTTTTAAATGCGAAAGTAAGACGCGAAAATAATTTTCGTAGCTGGGGCTTGAAAAACGCAACTTGTAAATACGAAAGTAGTGCGCGAAATCCATTTTCGCAGTCGGGCTTGAAAATCGCAACTTTTAAGTACGAGAAAGTAGTATACAAAATCAATTTTCGCAGTTGGGGCTCGAAAATCGCAACTTTTTAGTACGAAAGTATAAAGTCCACTTTCGTATCTAAGGTTTAAAAATCACAACTTTTAAGTGCGAAAGTAACACGTGAAATCCACTTTCGTAGCTGGGGCTCGAAAATCGCAACTTTCAAATACGAAAATAGTATATGAAATCAAAATAGAAATAGATAAATAAATAAACAATAAGAAAGAAAGTAATGAATAAAGAGAGAAATAGAAAGAAAGAAATAGAGAGATATATAAATAGAAAGCAAAAAGATAGATAGATAAATAAATAAACAGATAAGAATATATATATATATATATTACTAAATAGATAGATAAACGATAAATAGACAGATAGACAGATAGATAGATAAATAGAGAAGTAGATAAATAGACACATAGATAGAAACAGAGATAGAGAGAGATAAGTAGATAGATAGATAGATAAGTAGAGAGAATGAGATAGAGAAGTAGATAGAGATATGGATAAATAAATTGATTTATAGAAAATTAGAAACATAGATAGATAGATAGAGAGATAGAGAGATGGATAAATATACATAAGATAATAAGATAAAGAGATAAATGAACAGAGAGATAAACAGATAGATAAATAGAAAGAGATAAATAGGTAGACAGAGGGATACATAGAGAGATTTTGGCGCTAAATAGATAGATAAGCAGATAGCTACGAGAGATAGATACATAGGTAGTTAGGTAAAGATAGACAAGCAGACGAAAGAAATAAAGCAAAGACAAATAGAAAGAAGGAAAGAAGGAAAGAAGGAAGAAAGGAAGACTGATGGAGAAAAAGAGTGATGAAAAAAACAGAGAAAATAACTATACTTTTATATTTTTGAAATTTCCGCCTACTGACTTCGCCGGCTCTACTGGCAAAATATGTTAAGCAGTAAGTTGAGGTTTTGCTGGGCGACCCGGTCGCCCTGAGTTGCGAAAAATGTCTTGCCGGCGCGGGTTCTATAAGATTTGCTTTATTCTGGTATACCCAATATGGCCTAGATTTTGACCCTTAAGAGTTCGGCTTATGCGATGCTTTGGGTGAAGTTTCGTGAGATTGTGTTTTCGCGGACGCTCTGATCTCGGTTTATGGTTTTTTTTTAAGGGTTAGAATATTAGAATTATAATGATCCTCTTTTTCAACACCCGTCTCGATTTACCCCGAATTGTTGGTTGGGATTAATAGTTTAAGGCTTAAATCCCTGGATTATTTTGAAATTAAATGGGAAATTATCCCTTAATCTTTACAACATGTATAGGTTAACCTCTATAAACTCATGAAATCCAACTGATATATTGCGCACATCACATTAACCTTTATGAGTTTATAAAATCTAGGGCCCATTCCTCATATTGCTAAGAAAGCTGGGATAATTGTGACGGAAGTTAGAGAATGCCGCGCTCAGGTGCGCGTAGTACCCGAGAGCAAGGCCGAAATATCATGTCTTAGGCCATGCAGGCTGGACCGCCTTCAATCTGAGCAATTTAGCGACAGAGGCTGTTGACACGCGTCATTAGGATATAAAGCCCAAAAACCTCTTGGTCGCTGCCTCAGCCCGGCTTTCGGGCGCATTGTGTGGGCCTATTGTGGCTCAAAGGTTTACGGAGAAATATGAAATAATCTTCTAGAGGAGCGAATGGTTTGTCGCAAAATTCGAATCGAAGCCCTTCCTTTCGAGGTGATTTTCCGGTTTAGCCCCAAAATAGGATCTTATAAAAAATTACCCAAATAATAAGATTTAAGTCACTGGCAAGACGGTAAAGCTAGCCGATTTCGGTCTGGCTCGAGAGATTCGAGCGCATCGTCCTCAGGTTGATCGAAGCCGCATTAACATTGCGAACGCACTCGTGAAGGACGTTTTCTGGGAGGTTAGAAAAACAATTTATTTAGATATTCCATTTCCATTTTGGTTACAATATTGCGCCAGAAGCTCTGAGTCGTGGCCGATTGTTGCGACCAGCGGCATTTTTCCTAATGTCTTGAGCGAAATCAGTGCGGTTTTGCTTGCACCCAGGATGTTTTCTGGTTGATCGTGTTTTGGAATATATTTATCACAATTTTAAAAATGGATGGATGTTTTGAGGTTAGCAACCCGCGGGTCCGTTCTCACCTTGCTTAAGCGACCGTTTTTTATTAACTATATATTTAGACGTTGGTATTGGGCGCCTAAGACACATTTTTTGTTTTGTCCATTATAACGCTTTAGGAAATATATTGAGGTGCTACTAAGAATTCCATCTATAACTAATTTTTCGATGTTTAGGTCTCCAGCTCAATGCAGAGTATAGGCTTTCGAAATGCTTGCCTAGATAGGGTCTAAGGCAAAGGCTCGCGGCTCATTTGCCTCTCGAAGCTGCGAGGCTTGTGGCGGTATTATGCCGGAATTGTATACCCTAAGGAATGGCAATAATACCTTGTATTTTTGGGCATTAACCATAATAATCTATATTTTTGTTTATGCATATTTATATTACAACCTTATCCTATATTAATATGACCTCAATCTTAAAATCGTGCTATGCACTTTCCGATAAATCTATATCATATCTCTATATCCATAGCTGGTCTTTAGTATCACGACCTATGTTTGGAGAATAATATATATTTCATATATAAATATAATATATTTTTAAATATATATAATAAACTATATTAGTAATTAAATTATATTATACAATATATTATTTATTTGGGTTCTACAAAATTTACTCTTTTCTTAACACACCCACCACGACCTAAACCTTAACCCCTAAAAGCTTAGCTCATACAATATTCCATTAAATTTTCCAAATCCGTATTAAATATGAAAAACACAAGCGAAACTATAAACAAAACTATAACACCTTGCCCAATAGCGAAAGACAATCCAACGAGTTATGGCCTTAATTACAAATCTATCCGAATTTTCCCGGGCCCATATCCGGACAATATAATTATTTCACGTTATATAAATCCTAATTTCGAAAAAATAAAAATAAAAAATTTTTAAAATAAATATATTTTTCATACCAAAATTATAAAACAATCTTATAAACGTAATAAAACATTATTTTCTTCTATAATAATTCATATATCAAATATATTCAAATTTTATTATTTGTTTATTTTGTTAGTTCAATTTTTTCATTGCGCTCGATGTCTATTCAAGCGGAAAGTAATTCAGGAATGGAATATTAATTGTTAACCACCTAAACCAATCCTACACAACACCAAATATACAGCCCAAACTAACCATAACTAACCCAAAACCTTCCTTAAATCCAACCCCAAACCAACTTTCAATCAACCCTACACCATACCCAAAACTCACCTAAACCAAAGATCTAAACCCACCAACCTCCAAAGCAACCGCCTACACCAAGCCCTTTGCCGACTCTAACCGGGGGGGGGGGGCCTGCAGACCCGCATCAAATGTACATTTGTCTATTTATATATATATATATATAATGCAGTATTATGCAAATGTGTACTCAGAAAAAATTAGATGCTGCCAAGCAATGGTGTCTCGTAATTGCTTAGAAGTTGCGTCTGAACATACCTTTTTGGTCTACCTTGCCAACTGTACACTCCCTAGGGGTCAAGCAAGGACAAAACGCTGGGCGATGGGACGCGCAGGCTAGCGCTGTCCATCTGTCTGTATCATGCGGTCATGCGCCTGTACATTGCCTCCGTACGCAGTGTGTACTTGAGACCCTTCTTCAGCAGGCATCCTGCGTGAAGCAAATTCCTTGGCAGGACAGCGGCAACGTGCCTGGAGCCTCTCCCTTTTGTAAATTGATGGGACCTGCGACACCAATTGCCTGGAGGGAAAGCAAAGCTTTGATGCAAGCAGCTGCGTGAAGATCAGCACGCTGCCGACGCGAGGTTGGCAAGCTACATCTTCCTGTTGGGAACTCTTCTTGTGATCCCGGCGATATAAAATCGAGGCTTTA